AAACTGAAGTTAATAGTGACAGATTGAGCAAAATACATGATGAAGGCAGTAAATGAGATTAAGAAAAATTCGTTGATTTTTCCAAATGTACATCATGTCACACGTCTCGTTCATGCCTTACATAATGTTACATTTAGGATTCAGAATGAGTACAAATTAACAAATTTGCTTATATCAGAAATGAAGAAGTTTTTGTGAAGTCAAGAGAAAGACAAAATTATTTTAAGAATGCAACTGGAGTTAGTAATCTTCCTCCAGAACCAATTGTCACTCACTGGGAGTCTTGGTTAAACATTGCAAAGTACTATGTTGATAATTTTGATACTTTTTTATTTATTTGTCGAAACCTTGTCTTCTTCTTCTTGTTTCTTCTAATTCTATGTCACGACTTAATGCATTTAATAATATTAACAAGAACCTAAGCATTGACATTCATAAAAACTGGCTACAATTATTAAAATAGAATGTTTATACAGTCGCAGGTGAGGCGATGTGCAGCACTCAGGGAAGTGACACATTACAAGTTACGAGGCATGTGGGGGAGGCCGTCAAGTCAGGAGAAGAGGGGAGGGAAGTGGGAAGTACAGAAGGTGCCTGACTGATACTGTATACACAAGTCACAACCTATTGATGTAACAGACTGAAGAGGGGCGAGAGCCCGAAACGCATATCTGTATGAATTAAAAGTGGAAGATGAAATTATTTGCCAAGTGTTGATAAATGCACCAAGTCGTGACATAGAATTAGAAGAAACAAGAATTTTGATACTGTTGAGAGCTTCATTTTAAACTATCAATATAAACAAAAATCTCATTCAAATGCTAGAAATGTTTTGGTGAAACTATTAAAAGAGAAGAAAGTTAACCTCAAGAAAGAATTATTTGATCTCCATAATCTCATCAAGCTATCAAATATTATAATATCACTGAAAGAACAAGGACTCGGTGTAACTAAACAAGCCAAACTAATTGAAAATGAAAAAGAAATTCTTTCTGGTTATCCTATATTTTCTCAAAAATTGGAAAACGTTTTGTCAAGCAATCCCGATCTTATCAAATTTACTTCTTTTGATATGAATTTAAGTGATAAAGTTAATAGCGAATACACTCCTTTAGTTGCAGTTGACGTTAAACGTTCATTCTCATTATATTAATCGATATCGAGCAATCAACGTCATAGTTTAAGCAAGGATTATTTAAAATATCTAAGTGTAATTCATTTTAACTCATTTTTGAAATAAATAACTGGTGACTTTTTTTGGCGAATTTAAAGCAAAAAATTGGCGATTTTTGCCCAAAAAGTGACAAAAACTTTCTAGTAATGTACTATGTTCTTAAAGAAATACTAAAACAAGCAATTATTTATTGTGACTTATCACAATGCCAGTCTGCAATTTTCAATCATATTTTAAATTTATTTAATTTAAAATATAGGCCTTGGTTTTAGTAGTGTCTTGCTCGTAAACCATATATAAAATTTTTCCTGTTAACAACAGAGTTGTGCCAGTCATCTAACTCCATTCTGGAGAAAATTTCTGAATTGAAATGATGTGACTTCCAGTCCAAATTGGAGGTTTGTACACAGTTGATCAAGACTTCCTGCCCCTAACCTTTCCATATCTAGTGTATACTTTCATCTATGTAACTCTGTTTTTGAGATTAAGAAAGGACAGACAGACAACAGTGGGAATTTATAGGCCTGCAATTTGAAAACTGCAGCACAATAAAATTATTCAGTATGTGAAACTTGTTAAAACATATCTGTGGCAATGGGACAATGTAAAAATATATAAATAACTGTATACAAATACAATGAAGTTTGAATGGACTATCTCACATTGATCTTTGACATAATAATGAAGTATGAACAGTGAATTAAACAAAATTATTCAAAAATTTACATTATTAAAGAAATGCATGGAAAATATACAAAATCAAAACTATTAAACTTCATGTAAAACATACTATACTATATTCATAAGCATATCCAGTGGCAGTGTATTTGCTTAACTACTGTTCCAGTTTGTTTTTTCTTAGTTCATATATCTATCATTTATTTTTTATAAATTAAAATTCAAATTTTGTAACTTTAGCTATTAATTTTGAAAATTTTCTACATTGTACAATTACAGACAAAATCTAACAATGGCTACCATACATCTGCACACTCTTACCAGAAATAAAAACCTTAAATACAAAAATTACCCAAAGACAGTAGAGCGTCGTTTATCGAATCAATTGGGGACTGGGGTTGTTCGGATAACTTATTTTTCGGATAACCGATTATGTACGAAAAAACATATTAACCTATCCCATGTTGAAATTTTTCTCCGTTGCATGTTACTTTGCGTTGAATTTTCGTTGATGTTAAGCCTAACGTAAACTTTTTAAAATAATAATCGTGGCTATTGTATTCTTAAAAATTATTTCTTTATTTTTTACAAACAAAATAAATATATTGATGTAAAAGAAAGCAAAATGTAATCCCTGTGTGCTAGGTTAAGAAGACATGTTTTGTACTAGACGGCGCTAGTTGGCTGGTGTCACATGCTTTGGTCAAAGGTCATCTTCTTTGTTCTAGTTTGCTACGTCCCTGTGTAGCACGTGTCTCCCCTCTCTTTGTGCATGTAGTCGTGTTACATATAACTGTGTATTTCCGTACATCGTAAGATATACGTTTACTTGCTTCATCTTCTGACAATTGAAAAATATAAAAACAAAAAAAATTATACTTTAGAAGTTGATCTAATATCAAAAATGTTCAATTCAGCATGACACACAGTCCTCAGAAAAACATCACACAAAAGTGCCAGTGCTACCAGCTAAAACATACCAACAAAAAAGAAATATTGGAGTAGCCCAAGATATAGCCAAAGATTGCAGCACCACAGCACTGGCGAAAATTTAAATTTGCAGACTGGAATGCTTTCGGTTAACTAATGTTTCAGATAAATGACGCTCTACTGTATATAGATTGGAAGCATCATTCATTAATCATATGTTAACAAATATGTCAAACTGCTTTAGTCAACCCACGATAAGCCTTTAAGTCAACCCATGATAAGTTATATGAATCTGAATCTTCACTATGGTAAGTTGAGATCTTACCATTTAGCTATCTGGTTGGATTGTGAAAATTTTAAAAACAAATTTATGAGCAATTATTTATTATGATTTTGTCACAATGCTGGGCTGCAATTTTTAATCATATTTAAAAATTTTTAAATTTAAAATATACTCTCTCCACTCAAATCAGTAGTGTCTTACTGCTGTACATCATATTTTCCTGTTAGCAATAAAGTCGTGCCTAACCAAACAGAGTCATATATCTAACTCCTTTTAGGGGAAACTTTTTGAATTGAAATAACATGACTACTGGTCTACAGCAGAAGTTCATATATAATTAATTCGGATCTCCTACCCCTAATCTTTTCACATTTCTGGTCTCAGTTTTCATCTATTTAACTCCGTTCTTGAGATTAAGGAAAAACAGACATGCAGACAGATGACAATGGGAATTTATAGATCTACACTTTTTTCAAATTGCAGCCCAATTATTTTGACACTAAATTTGATTAAAGAATATATTATCTTTTATAAGACAAAGTATAATACCACATAGACACTTTGCCAGATAGAACTAAATTTGTATATATATTATCTCTTCAAAAACAAAATTATAGAGAACATTGAATTATTTCTAAGATATTATTTCTTTCAAATTTAATTAATTAATTAATATCCAGTGCATCAAGAACATGCTTCTACACAAAATTAGAAAATAGTACTATTAATCAAATAATTATTAAAATAATGAAAATATATTTAAAACAATAGCTTAATAAATAAAAAATATCAAAAGAATTAATACTCAGAGTATATCCTAATTCCAATAAAATTAAAGTTTTGTTGTCAACAACAAATCATCTTTCATTTAAATACAATTAATTCTCTGATGTAATGAAGAGTAATTTGATAATTTATGCATTAATTTATCTGGAATTTGTATTTATAAATATATATATACACGATAAATAAATTCTTTGTGACTAAAAATTCTGTATATATAAAATGCTTATTATCAATATCACAGTCAAAATTTTTTAATGATTTTCAATAAAATATTATTCATGATAAACAATTTATACTATAAAAACAAATATAGATAATAAAGTATATTTAAGTACCACATAATGTTATTTATAAAGCAAACATTACAGTAAATCACGAATATAACTACTGTATTGGAAAATTGATATAAGCTTAATTTGATTCGACTCTGGCACATTATATTTATAAATACATTAAAAATCACAAATAAATCAAAATAATTTTTACTCATAACCGACAAACTTCTTTGTTATTTGTACTTGATCTGATTTAATTGAAACAGTTTTCATGCCAGAAATCGAGAAAAAATTGGTCAAATTAAGCTCTACATTATCCAAAATGACTTCATTAAACACTTTTCGAATATAGTATATGAAACGTTTTAATGATCTTTTATCTGCACATAAATTTCACATTAACAACAATGATACAATGATGTCATTTAAGGCAAGCTATGTTGTTTTCTTTACACAAAGTTACATAACATAAAAATTATTTTGACAAAATAAAATCTATGTATGTTGTACAATACTTACTAGCAAAGTTTGTAGGTTTTACAGACCATGCTAATAATTTATTTCATTAAAACCTAAACTAGTATAAATAATAATAGTAATTTCTGGAAAATATTTTAAAGAAATTTAATCATATAATAAATGTATTGCCAAAATTGTTGAAATTTTGTATTCAAATCATTATTAAAAAATAAATATGATATTAAATTAACCTTAATAAAACAATGAGTTTCATAAACTGAAAAAAAAAAAAAAAACTAAATTTTTAAATAAACATTTCTCTCTAGAATAGTTAATTACTACTTAAAACAGATATATTTAAAAAATTTAATTTGAAATTCTTTAAAACAAGAATAATTATTTTTGATATTTTGAATTTACTGCCAATATTTTACTTGTATGTACTGTACATCAAAATTATTGGTAGAAACTTTTATAAAGTCAATATAATTCTTGCAAATAAACTTTGTTTAATTTACTTAAACTAGTATATGTAATTTGTTCTAAGAATTTCATTGTACAACATACTGAAATCAAACAAAATCAAAGATTAAAACTGGTCCTATAGCAACAGCAATATTCTGTATATTGGTTAATTGGAAAGAATGTTTGTATAAATGTTCATGCTAGATGATGATAACTAGTTATAACGTTTGTTTTTTTAATCGTTATGACTCGGTCATTGCGATAGTTCACTTGTCTTGAAACATTATTTGCAATGCATCTTCTAGGAATCACACGAACAAATTTGAGTTGATGACGATTTTATAGAAATACGGCTCCTACCTGCGATTATTCTTATTTCTATGAAAAACATGTATTCATATACAATATCTTTTAAGCAGGGTACAAAGATACTTGGATCATTGACAAATCTAGCATGTGCCTGAAAATTATAGATTTAATTTTGATTAAATACAATAAAAATTTTACTTACATAATTAAATCATAAACAATTGTTAATATTTCAAATACTATAACAGAGATTATATATACATATATATATTATTTGTATTATATGCACATACAGTAGTGGTCAAAAGTAAAGCTACCCTAAACATATGTTTTAAAAATCCAACCTCTATTTTGTTCACCACCTATTACATAATTAATATTGTGATAGTTGAAAAGAACACCAAAAAACAGTCAAAACATAATTCTAGGGTGGCTTTACTTTTGTCCACTATTGTACATACGAAGAAAGATGAACTTATAGAGAAGAATAAGTATTTAAAAAATCTTTGCGATATCTTGATATTTATAAGAACAATAATCTTTAAATTTAATGAACTAAATTATCCAAAATCACAATGAAAATAACATGGGTCATATATGTCATGGCTAAAGCCCACGAATGAGACAAAGCTAGGATTAACCAGCTAATGTTAGTTTTATCCAAGTCTTTTGGTTAAGGCAAGTAAAAATCTATTAATTTCAAACTTATCCAAATAAAGCATGCTTTGTCCGAGTCATGAGTGGATAAAGCCGACATTATCCAAAAGCAGATGAATGAAGCAAGAATAAAACTTCAAATTTGGGCTTTATCCAGATATTGTGCAGTTTGTCTATTATTGTTTAGATAGAGTTGACTATAGTAATGATACAGGTAACCCCCATATAACACAGAAGTTACATTCCAAAAAATTGCCGTGTTATACGAAACAAAAAACTAGTGCGAAAAGGGAGGGTTAGGTTCCAAAAATTAAAAACATGCTGTTAAATCCATATTTAAATCAGATTTATTATTCATTTTTTCATAGGTAAAATATTTATTTATTTATTATTTAAATATTTTACCAGAGGATTATCCATCTTATATGATGATCTCAGCATGGGCATCATCAACTGGTAACAGTTTTTGGGTGCATTCGTTAATAGCGATCGTCTGCAACGGGAGTGCGCTGCTGTTTGTAGGCATTTAGGAACGACAGTGAAAGAAAAATGGCGGCGCCTGAACTATCAATAGTATTGTGATGGAGGAATCTATAATTCTAAAATGAGCTTTTAGAGGCAAAAGAAGGGTCCCAATTGTAAAATTTAACCATTAAATGGATTATTTGTTGAAAGAGCATTCAAAGTAGCCACAAAACAATTAGAATGCTCGCTCAGAGTTATGTGGAGGTATAAAAGAATGCACCCTTTATTACATTTCATGTTGTACGAGGGTTTTACCCAATTCTCAAACCGTGTTAGAGTGAACCCATGCTATAAAAGCACTGTGTTATACAGGGATGTTCCCAATTCTTGAACCGTGTTAGAGTGAATCCGTGCTATAGAAGTGCCATGTTATACAGGGGTTACCTGTATTACATTTTTACAAGCAATTTATTGCCAGATTTCAAGCCAATTGGTGATATGGTGACAATTTTTTCATGCCTATGATAAACTTCTTACATATTGTTAATCTGTAAACTGATCTACATTTTTTTGTTACTGTAAAGTGGGGATCCCAGAACTTTTTTGACTATCTGACCCCTTTGAGGATTCCTCGACCTTTTATCTACCCCCTTTTCTTGTTTTGCTAATCCAGTTTAATAATATATCTGGTGAGCTAGTATTAATCCACATACCATTTTCATCAAAAAGATCCACTTACAGTATGGAAACATTGCAGATTATCTGGCTAAAGTGAAACCCTAAATTTTTTTCTTCCACTTTAACCGAAATGGAATGGATAGCATGCTTTATATGGATAAAGTTCAAAATTAATAGATTGTTACTTGTTTTAACCAAAAACCTTGGATAAAACTGACATTAGCTGATTAATCCTGGTTTTATCCAATTTATAGGTTTTAAACTGTAATGTATGTACAGTACATGTATGTATGTATATATATAATTAAATGTTAAAGAAAACATTCTTCTGAGTACAATAAAATAATAGCATTGAAATTTGAACAACTTAAAATCAGGAAAAGTGTTTTCTTTTATAAGACAATAAAACAATTAACAACTTATTGACATTAACAGTAGTAGTTAGTCAGTGTGGGATACACTGGCCATCTACTGATCTTAAAAAATAACACCTTCCTCTCAAATTTCATACAAATCTGATGTTAATCAGTGTGAGTTTCTAAAATTTAATATGTTTATTTTTGCATTTTTGAATCAAATAACAATAAAATACACACAAAAAAACACTTTTGGAATTCTAGGAGTATTTTATGTCATTAGAAAGAACAAAATGAAGAAATTTAACATATAATAGTAGTTTTTGATATAATGCTGACACATTTTCACAGTTTCACAGTTTTAGAATAAAAACTTGTTCATTTTTTAACCTCCCCTGGGATATGTATTATAATGGGCTAAACTGGCATGCCGATTTTTACCATACAGAAATATCTGATTTCATGGTCTCCCCAGATAGATTGACGTGCTGGACAAATCCACAAAAATGCAATATATACATGTTAAATACACACACACATTTGTAACAACATTCACTGTTTAGCAAACGTTCATATTTAATAAAATGAAAAATCTCAGTAATAATTCCACTAGTTTTAAATTTAATTTAATAAGTAAACAAAACTGATTTGTTTGAAAATTGTACAATTCTTACAAATTATACAATTTGTAAGAATTGTCTTTTTCTAACATCTATAGATAATTGAACAAAAATCTAAAATTTTTAAAAATAAATATTAAAAATTCAACCAATCAAAAAAATATTATTATAAATGACATAAAAAAGGACTCAAAAACAGGTATATTAGATTTTATTATATAACTTTGATATAAGATTTAAGGATATAACTGAATTTCTTATCATATCTTACTAAAAATTGTTATAATTAAAATGTACCTCTGATATTTTTTCTGAAAATTAGAGGCATGAACTGGATCTTTAAATTTTATAACAGCTTTCCTGTCCTTTCTTTGTAACTGAATACTCTGAAGTATAATTTTAAAAATATAAAATTATTTCTTGACCACAGTAACTTTTGTTTTAAATCAAACCTGTAAACAATACATACCTCGACAGGACCGACTGAAGAGCAAAGTTTTGAGAGTTGCGCTTCGTTAGTAGAAGCCGTCAAATTTTCAATCAGTACCGTCTGTGTCTTTTGAGTTAATAAATTCCGCTAAATATTACGAACGTTATAAACAACAGTATTTAAGCTAATGATTTCAAGTTTTCTATAATCTGTAATAGTCACCTGTTGTGCAGAAGGTGCATCACCTTGTCCTTCGGTCCCTATTAAATTTACCATACGCTGCATACGTACTGCATTTCTATTACAATTTGGAGTCAAAACCTTTCTAGTAGTTGTATTTCCTCCATTGGTGTTAACTTGAATCACCTGTCGCTGAGTCTGTGGAGCTTGTCCTCTTGGTATGACTATCCTTTGATCTTTTGTAACAGGAATTTTTTTCTTAATAGTATTAATCTGATTTATTTTTGTACCAGGAGGTGCGACAGTCCTATTCTGAGGATTCTGTATCCTTTGTTGCATTATGTTAGCTTGCATCGACTGAATTGGGGTGTTTTGTTGAGCCTTAGGTAAAGTTTATAAATCAATTATTTATTTATTGTTATTGATTGTATTTATTAAAAAAATAATAAACTATTTTTACTTTTGTCTGTATAATCACTGGATTCTTTTGTGTATTTTGGCCCAATTGCTGAAATTTTTTCCTTAAAACGACGACTTTTTTCAATTTGGGAGCAAAATTTGGTGTTTGTTTCATTATATTAAAAATGCCAATTCTTTGTTTAACTGTTAATTTTGTTTGCTCTTTTGTATCTGTATGGAAAATTATAGAATATATAAATAAAACTTATGTATAAATATTACAATTAATATGTCAATATTAACTAACTTTCTGATATTGCATTTTTGTTTTCAACTGGTTTCTGGTGCTGCAGCAGTTGTGGCTGTGGCTGCTGCTGCAACTGTTGTTGTTGTTGTTGTTGTTGTGGTTGCTGTTGCTGCTGCTGTTGTTTTTGCTCTTTTAGGCGTTGCTGCAATTCTTTCATTCTTTGTGTTGCCATCATACGACGTCTTTCTTCTTTACGACGAAGAATTTCTTCACGTAATTTTTTCTGCTCTTCTATTTTCCTTCTCAATTCTTTGGTTTCTTCATCCTAATTATACACCAGTAAGTATGTGTTTATTTATTCATTTACATGTACAGTACAATCATTACTAATATTTATTACTTGATATGATACTTATTAGGAGCTATTTTAAAATAAAATGAATGAAACTATTATAATGTACAGTAATACCCCGAACTTATGCGATAGGTTGGGACCAAGCGATAACCACGTAAGTCAAATTCGAGTAAGTCGGGGTATAATTTCGCAATTTGTGTAAAATCCAAGTCAGATGTATGTAAGCTAATAAATGTTCTCGTTAATCTTATCTTGTCTTTTGATTCGTTCACGGTTACAAGAAATCACCACATAGTCTCTAAAGTCTCCATAGATATAACAAACACAGAAATAAATAACACAAAATAAATTGTAGCTATGTGTCGATTTCGTGCGACACGTCTGAACATGTAAGCCAAACAATAGTGTGGGGGAAATGAGTAATCAAGAGTTGCCTGGCACTCAAACAAAAGATGAATCAATGAGATTTGAAAATCGCGTAACTTTGGGTTCGTGTAAGTCGGGATAGCGTAAGTCGGGGTATTAGTGTAATTAAAAACTGACTAAAAATATACTTTTGTAATGGATTTAGAATCGTTAGTTTAATTACTTAATTATGAAGACTGATTAATAAATAATTTAAGATATCTTACTGCAGCATTGTGTGAAAGAAGGGAAAAGAAACATGACTACCATAATTTAATAACTACTATCATAACAAAAATAAAACTTTTAAATACTAGTAACAACTTTAATGAAAACTTTGAACGTTTTCTTTCAAGAAAGAGGTGGAAGTCACTCAGTGTTAAATTGGGGCTATATGCTGAGTGTTTAAAAAGTTCCAAGCTGGGTGGAAGTTTGAAAGTCTTCACACCTTTAATGTATGAAGACTTCTACCTCTTTCCTGAACTGAAAATGTGGCTAAGAAGCAGAGGTTTGAGACTAATGCTGATCTTCGAAATGACATTAAGGCAACAACATTCTATGAAGAGGAGATTGCAAAGCTCGTCTACAGATATGACAAATGCCTCAATCTTCACGGTGATTATGTCAAAAAGTAACCATGTTTGTACTTAACTTTAGTAATAAATTCATTTTGTTATTTACACTTATCTTTGTTTTATGACCATTAGAGGTTGAAAAAAAAAAACAGCCTATGTATGAGTGTGTTCACCCACACCAAAAGGTGTTCCTCGTGGACTAGCTAATTTCCAACTAAATTGAAACTTTTTGTAGTATTGCAATGTTGAAGTTCAGCTGGCCAGATGGTCAAGGCAGTTAAGATATTAGCCTACCACTCTAGAACCCTGGAATTGAATTGGAGCAAACGAAACTCTGGAAATTTTCATAGGTGGTAAAAATATATTTTCCCCAATCCCTTATGAATTGAAACCAGTGCTCAGTAACCACAGGTCTAAAAGATTAGGAACCACTGAAAGAGAACATCACTTTTCTATACTACATTAGACTGAAATGTTCTTCATTTCATCTTATTTCATTGAACTTATCCTTTCAATGTTTCAGACACAAAACATCTATTTATGAACTTATTGTTTGATAAAAGTTTATTTTTTAAACTGTTTATACCCTGTGGGAACTAAGAGGGCCTTCTTAGCAAGTCCATTATAGGTTTGACAAGGCCACAAAAAAGTGGCTGGGTGATAGAGGTTAAGGCCCAACAATAAAATATGTGAATGACCTGATAAATTCAGATCATTCGCATATTTTATTGGGGTTTATTTGACACATCTACTTTGATCCCAGGTCCCCCAGATTGATAGGTTGCAACCTTAACCACTCAGTCAGGGGTCGGCAACCTTTTGGCGGTGTTGTGTCAAACCTAAGTTATAGTGTTATTCCAGGTGCTGATGTGATTCTACTAATTTTGTTATATATGCTATGGACCAAGTGATTAATAGGGCATTATTTATAATGTCCAGCCATTACAGATAATGACTAAAATGGCCACACAACTTGATAAATATTGACTAATTTATTAAATTGACCAGACATTATGAATACAGCTATATTTCCTTTGGGCAATTTGATTTTTTGAAAAACCCCAAACAATTCTTAATGAAAAAAGTGAAGATTTTGTTTTATTTCAAAGTATTTTAAAAACAACACAAGATCTTTTAAAAGTAAGTATTATTAACTGTATTAATTAAACTAATGTTAATGAAAAATATTATTAACAAATTTATACTTTAATCAGAAAATCAGCTTAAATGAAACTTCTGGAATGTCTTTTTTGGTATAAATTATATGAAAAAATCCAAAGTCATTTTAAAAAGTTTCTAAATCATCTACTGTATTAATGTTAGTAATGATATGTCAGATATAAAATCCTTTAGTCCAACTTTTAACTTAACAAGCATGACCTCAGGAGATGCAGTTTATACCAGTATGATGCACTCAATTTTTATCAGTTGTACGAAACGTAATCCTTCCGACCATTTGTTAGTTTTGTTAGTCTCCAACCAAGAACTAAGCATATTTTCTACGTCTTGATTACATCTTTCTGCTGAACCCTGACTTTGTGAGTGCTTAAGCTTTCCATGCACCAGTTTTAACTCAAGCCACATATTACACAGTTCTTTGATGACATTATTGGCTAATTCTCNTAGCTTAATTTATATAAAATAAAATAGTTTAAAAAAATGAAGCAAATAAATCAAATTATGAAAATGATGCTGGCTTCATTTGTAAGACGGTGTATTGTAAAAAAGAAAAACTTTCATAGTAAACCTACATTTCTTATTTTCAATATGTGTGATTACTCAAGAGAGCAGTAACAATGCACTTATGTGTCTGTATAAAAAACAATTTATTTCACATCTTTACAACAATACCGGAGAATAGTAATATAATTATCTCTTTCTAACCTGTTACTGGTGCGTCTACTAACTCTTACTGATCCAAAAAAAAACGAACCAGTTTTGGTTCGTTTTTTTTTGGATCGGTAAGAGTTAATAGACGCACCGGTAACAGGTTAGAAAGAGATAATTATGTAACAATTTATTTCCGTAAATCATAGCAAACTTAATGACCAACCAAAGCCAATCAAATGCAATCCAAACAATTTATTTTTTATTGGACAAAACATAATAAACTGTATATGAATAAGTGCAATTTATATTTGGATACATGTTAATAATAGTAAATCACAACTTATTATTTCTGTAAGATGTAATGTTAATAAAGATGCTGTAAACACTTCTCTTTCCTTTCATTAGCTGAAAATTCATGGATAAGCTTGCCATTTTGTCAATTTGAAATTTGAAAAAATAGCTTTGTTTTCTTCTTAAATCAAGAGCAAAGTGATAATAAAAATAAAATACTAAAGACCACTAATTATCTACTTTACATATATAACATATCAAGTAGACAAGACAGATGCATACTGCCAAATTTAGCATTGTGTCTTTTTCATATTCATCACTAATAATGATAGAAAAATTTTTTCCATATCAAAATTTGCTTTTCATAGAGAAAAATGATGAATGGCAAAATAAAACTGTGCTTATGTAATTATAGTTATACAGTAGAACCTCGAAAACTCGGCTCTCGATAACCCGGCACTCCGGATAACTCGGCCACACCTTGGCAGGGCAAAAAAATCCTTAGTTAATTAATTTTCATTATAGACAGCTTTATAAAAGTATAAAAGCTCTCATAAAGTATTTTTNAATTTTAAAAATATAAAATTATTTCTTGACCACAGTAACTTTTGTTTTAAATCAAACCTGTAAACAATACATACCTCGACAGGACCGACTGAAGAGCAAAGTTTTGAGAGTTGCGCTTCGTTAGTAGAAGCCGTCAAATTTTCAATCAGTACCGTCTGTGTCTTTTGAGTTAATAAATTCCGCTAAATATTACGAACGTTATAAACAACAGTATTTAAGCTAATGATTTCAAGTTTTCTATAATCTGTAATAGTCACCTGTTGTGCAGAAGGTGCATCACCTTGTCCTTCGGTCCCTATTAAATTTACCATACGCTGCATACGTACTGCATTTCTATTACAATTTGGAGTCAAAACCTTTCTAGTAGTTGTATTTCCTCCATTGGTGTTAACTTGAATCACCTGTCGCTGAGTCTGTGGAGCTTGTCCTCTTGGTATGACTATCCTTTGATCTTTTGTAACAGGAATTTTTTTCTTAATAGTATTAATCTGATTTATTTTTGTACCAGGAGGTGCGACAGTCCTATTCTGAGGATTCTGTATCCTTTGTTGCATTATGTTAGCTTGCATCGACTGAATTGGGGTGTTTTGTTGAGCCTTAGGTAAAGTTTATAAATCAATTATTTATTTATTGTTATTGATTGTATTTATTAAAAAAATAATAAACTATTTTTACTTTTGTCTGTATAATCACTGGATTCTTTTGTGTATTTTGGCCCAATTGCTGAAATTTTTTCCTTAAAACGACGACTTTTTTCAATTTGGGAGCAAAATTTGGTGTTTGTTTCATTATATTAAAAATGCCAATTCTTTGTTTAACTGTTAATTTTGTTTGCTCTTTTGTATCTGTATGGAAAATTATAGAATATATAAATAAAACTTATGTATAAATATTACAATTAATATGTCAATATTAACTAACTTTCTGATATTGCATTTTTGTTTTCAACTGGTTTCTGGTGCTGCAGCAGTTGTGGCTGTGGCTGCTGCTGCAACTGTTGTTGTTGTTGTTGTTGTTGTGGTTGCTGTTGCTGCTGCTGTTGTTTTTGCTCTTTTAGGCGTTGCTGCAATTCTTTCATTCTTTGTGTTGCCATCATACGACGTCTTTCTTCTTTACGACGAAGAATTTCTTCACGTAATTTTTTCTGCTCTTCTATTTTCCTTCTCAATTCTTTGGTTTCTTCATCCTAATTATACACCAGTAAGTATGTGTTTATTTATTCATTTACATGTACAGTACAATCATTACTAATATTTATTACTTGATATGATACTTATTAGGAGCTATTTTAAAATAAAATGAATGAAACTATTATAATGTACAGTAATACCCCGAACTTATGCGATAGGTTGGGACCAAGCGATAACCACGTAAGTCAAATTCGAGTAAGTCGGGGTATAATTTCGCAATTTGTGTAAAATCCAAGTCAGATGTATGTAAGCTAATAAATGTTCTCGTTAATCTTATCTTGTCTTTTGATTCGTTCACGGTTACAAGAAATCACCACATAGTCTCTAAAGTCTCCATAGATATAACAAACACAGAAATAAATAACACAAAATAAATTGTAGCTATGTGTCGATTTCGTGCGACACGTCTGAACATGTAAGCCAAACAATAGTGTGGGGGAAATGAGTAATCAAGAGTTGCCTGGCACTCAAACAAAAGATGAATCAATGAGATTTGAAAATCGCGTAACTTTGGGTTCGTGTAAGTCGGGATAGCGTAAGTCGGGGTATTAGTGTAATTAAAAACTGACTAAAAATATACTTTTGTAATGGATTTAGAATCGTTAGTTTAATTACTTAATTATGAAGACTGATTAATAAATAATTTAAGATATCTTACTGCAGCATTGTGTGAAAGAAGGGAAAAGAAACATGACTACCATAATTTAATAACTACTATCATAACAAAAATAAAACTTTTAAATACTAGTAACAACTTTAATGAAAACTTTGAACGTTTTCTTTCAAGAAAGAGGTGGAAGTCACTCAGTGTTAAATTGGGGCTATATGCTGAGTGTTTAAAAAGTTCCAAGCTGGGTGGAAGTTTGAAAGTCTTCACACCTTTAATGTATGAAGACTTCTACCTCTTTCCTGAACTGAAAATGTGGCTAAGAAGCAGAGGTTTGAGACTAATGCTGATCTTCGAAATGACATTAAGGCAACAACATTCTATGAAGAGGAGATTGCAAAGCTCGTCTACAGATATGACAAATGCCTCAATCTTCACGGTGATTATGTCAAAAAGTAACCATGTTTGTACTTAACTTTAGTAATAAATTCATTTTGTTATTTACACTTATCTTTGTTTTATGACCATTAGAGGTTGAAAAAAAAAAACAGCCTATGTATGAGTGTGTTCACCCACACCAAAAGGTGTTCCTCGTGGACTAGCTAATTTCCAACTAAATTGAAACTTTTTGTAGTATTGCAATGTTGAAGTTCAGCTGGCCAGATGGTCAAGGCAGTTAAGATATTAGCCTACCACTCTAGAACCCTGGAATTGAATTGGAGCAAACGAAACTCTGGAAATTTTCATAGGTGGTAAAAATATATTTTCCCCAATCCCTTATGAATTGAAACCAGTGCTCAGTAACCACAGGTCTAAAAGATTAGGAACCACTGAAAGAGAACATCACTTTTCTATACTACATTAGACTGAAATGTTCTTCATTTCATCTTATTTCATTGAACTTATCCTTTCAATGTTTCAGACACAAAACATCTATTTATGAACTTATTGTTTGATAAAAGTTTATTTTTTAAACTGTTTATACCCTGTGGGAACTAAGAGGGCCTTCTTAGCAAGTCCATTATAGGTTTGACAAGGCCACAAAAAAGTGGCTGGGTGATAGAGGTTAAGGCCCAACAATAAAATATGTGAATGACCTGATAAATTCAGATCATTCGCATATTTTATTGGGGTTTATTTGACACATCTACTTTGATCCCAGGTCCCCCAGATTGATAGGTTGCAACCTTAACCACTCAGTCAGGGGTCGGCAACCTTTTGGCGGTGTTGTGTCAAACCTAAGTTATAGTGTTATTCCAGGTGCTGATGTGATTCTACTAATTTTGTTATATATGCTATGGACCAAGTGATTAATAGGGCATTATTTATAATGTCCAGCCATTACAGATAATGACTAAAATGGCCACACAACTTGATAAATATTGACTAATTTATTAAATTGACCAGACATTATGAATACAGCTATATTTCCTTTGGGCAATTTGATTTTTTGAAAAACCCCAAACAATTCTTAATGAAAAAAGTGAAGATTTTGTTTTATTTCAAAGTATTTTAAAAACAACACAAGATCTTTTAAAAGTAAGTATTATTAACTGTATTAATTAAACTAATGTTAATGAAAAATATTATTAACAAATTTATACTTTAATCAGAAAATCAGCTTAAATGAAACTTCTGGAATGTCTTTTTTGGTATAAATTATATGAAAAAATCCAAAGTCATTTTAAAAAGTTTCTAAATCATCTACTGTATTAATGTTAGTAATGATATGTCAGATATAAAATCCTTTAGTCCAACTTTTAACTTAACAAGCATGACCTCAGGAGATGCAGTTTATACCAGTATGATGCACTCAATTTTTATCAGTTGTACGAAACGTAATCCTTCCGACCATTTGTTAGTTTTGTTAGTCTCCAACCAAGAACTAAGCATATTTTCTACGTCTTGATTACATCTTTCTGCTGAACCCTGACTTTGTGAGTGCTTAAGCTTTCCATGCACCAGTTTTAACTCAAGCCACATATTACACAGTTCTTTGATGACATTATTGGCTAATTCTCCGACATTAACACTTTGTAGAATACTTGGTGCACTGAAAATTGTAAGAATATCTAAAAGAACATAGGCTACATCTTCAGCCCTTTTGGTTTTTAATGTTCATAGTTGAACAAATTTAGTCAGATAGTCTTGGTACACGAGTATAAGTTTATACTGCTCATCGGCTTGCATATCTATAAGATCAACCTGACATCTCAAGTTCATTTCATTATTTAAAATTGGTTTAACTATCAAGCTTTTCTTAAAAACATTCTGTTTTTTCGAATAGATTTCACATAAATTCAAGTAAATTGTAATTGTATCTTGTATTCCCTTGTAATATTTTTGTATTTTGTACTTCATTCTTTTCCCATATGATTTCTGTTACCATGGTCAAAACAATATGGTCATCATGCAATATCTGAAATATTTTCTTCAGTGTAAACATAATATTTAATCAAAGTACCTTCTTTTACAAATACAATTAATTTTTCTATTTCTACAATAGACACATTATCATATCTACATACTCTGATATTCTTCAGGTAACTTCAAGGTCATTTTGATTTTCAACTCTCATTTTTTCTATCATTGTCAAATATGTTGATTTTGTAAAAATTTGACTGTTTTGATCGTTTGCTGCTATTAACTCATTTAATTGGTTGTTAAAGTAGTTATTCATATCACTTAATGATTGCTCTATAATCGTTACTTTTTCAAAGAAAAAAACACTATTTTAAGAGGCAAAAATAAAATTAAAATGTTGCAAAAGATTAACTACTGGTTGCATGAATTTAAAATTCAATACTAAACACAATATGCAAGTGCTGATTGGCTATTGTAAGGATAACTCCTCAAGATATCATCACTTTGCCCAACTAGGTGATAGCAGTATTCATAGTGACTGGTCAATCTGATAAATGATGACAAAAAAAAACCCAAAATTTGTTACAGTGCTCAATTTTGTTTGTCATTATTCAAAATGACTGGGCATTCATTATTCATAATGCCCATATTAATAACTTAGTCCACAACATATATATTATTAAAATTGATCTGGATGAACTTCAAAATTATATAATTTTGAGGTTCATCCAGAAATTATATAATAAAATTATATAATTCAATTAACAACTTAACTTCAAAATTATATAATTTTGAAGTTAAGTTGTTAATTGAATTATGTTCTTACATGTGAAGTGCAAGCACAACACATAGATGATAACACAAGGCATAAACACATGCACTGTAATATAAATATACAAGCAAGAGATTTGTTTTTAATGTACCATAGCCTACACAGAACTATGGCTTCCATTTAAATGTGATTTTTACAACATTTCTATTCGATCAGAGTGCCACTGAAAATTGTCCCATGTGCCACAGGTTGCTGATCCTTGGCTTAGTCATTTGGCCAACTGAAATTTGAATTCAATTACTTTAACTACATTAAAAATGTAAAAAAATATAACTAACAAGTTCTAGAAGTATGCCATAAGTATGCATATTTGTGTCACAAAACAACAATATATATAATTAAATATTGCAAAATAAATCTTAAAATTCAAATACAAACCTCTTCAATCTCGGCTGCTGCTTCTTTAACAGGTTGGACAGGTTGTGATGGTGGCAGATTTTCAACTATAGGAACCTCTTTGATATTAGAATTCTGAGCAACCGGTTTTCGTCCGATATTACCACTCTAATAAAATTCATAATTACTTTTCTCATATATGAAAACAGTTATAATTTTTAATAAATTGACAAAGTTTGAAAGTGCATACTTTTCTTTGTTTACGGTTATCGATTCGTTGTTGTTTTACCAAAGACGAGGTCTTATTATCTGAATTTAATCTTTTCCTCTGCATCTGTGCTTTATAACGTCTTTGAGGTGAGGACAATTGTACTTGAGGAGAAGGCATTCTGTTTTACACAGAGAGAAAACACACAAAAATTAATAGTATAAAAAAATTGTATAGGATGATTATGCTAAATTGTAAAGTGAATTTTGTTATTAATGCATTCAAAGTTTAAGTTTTAAAGAAATTTTTTCAGTAAAGATAATACTGTTAAGAATAACAATGTCATTTTTATTACTTTTATTTTTGGTAAACTCTGTTTTATGACAAATTAAAAGCAATTTTTGCTTAAGAAATGTAGCAACTCATGAAACAGAACTGATATGTTAAAGCACAAACATCATTAAGACTGATATGCATATGGGAACATCACCAAACGATCGACTAAATAATCGGGCTATAACTCTGCTCATTTTAATACTTAATACTAAGTAATTTGCTACTAGAGATAGATGTTAATTAGTTAAAAAATTAGGTAAATTTAAGATTTTCTGGCAAAAAAGCAAGACTTAAGTGTTGAACCTACAAATATAGTCAATGTTATTACCCCCAATATCTGTTGAACATCAGGTTAATTAGGTAAAATTAACCCGATGCTCAACAGAAGTTAATGTAAAAATAATATCCATGATATTGTACTGAAAAATTCTGTCATAAATCATATTGCAAATTTTAATAAATACAATTACAATTGGATATTGAACTACTTTCTGTTCAGATTTTAATTTAGTTTCCCATATTTATAATTTTAAAAAATTGTTTCAAAATTACCTATTTTGAACGTTAGACTGCTGAACTTGATGAGGATGCTGAAGAATATTCCGATTATATTTTGGAGATGAATACATATCCTATTAAAAACAAAATTACAATTATGAAAGCACAAAATAATAATATTAAATTTTGAATATTAAGTTTTAAATTACTTTTCGGACATTATTTGAAAATGGTGTTGTCTGTATCGGCATCATATTTGGAACAAACTCCTGAGACCGGAACTGTTGGGGTGCTGGTGGCGGTGGTGGTGGAGGTGGCGGTGGAGGCATATTTGGCTGAATGGATAATGGATTCATGGGAAACTGAGAATGATGATTCGGTGGAGGAATATGTAATGGTGGAAATGACGATGGAGGATTAGATGAATTCGACTGATGTTGAAAGTTCGACATTTGAACAACTTGTGGTAAAGGAGGAGGCGGAATATTATTATCTCGAAAATTCGGATTTGGAATTGATGGTTGATGCATTGATGGTCCTGTAAAATAAAACAGTGCAAACTCTAGAAATAATAATTAAAAAATCCAAACAGTGTAAATTATTTTTATATAGAATAATGATTCTTGATTAAAATTTATATGATTTACCTCTAAAGGGCATTTCGAACATTGGTTGTCTCGGAGGTGCTGGATGAAGTGGCATATGCTGTTGAGACATATTAGCCTGTGATGTTAATACATTCCATGAATTTGAAATGGGTGGCTAAAGTAAAATGAAGTTATTAATTTGTATAAAATTTTATATGCATAAATTGATTTTTCTTTTAAAAAGTTATTCATAAAATCAATTCAATTAAAGTAATTAAACTAAAATACACTTCTACATAACAAAATAAATCACGATAAGCTAAACAAAAACTCCATCTTAATTATAATATATTATACAAAAAATTTTCCCATCAAGTATGATGAACTAAGAACAAGAGTTTGTACTTAATTTGTAAAATTTAATCTTCATTATAAACTAAACCCTTAAAAAAACTATGGAGTCCAAATAAAGTAAATCTGATTCTCCTGCACCTAGTAAAAAAACAAAAATGATATCTTTATTATGTAAACTTAATATTATCAAGGATTTTGATAGCAGAATGAAAAGTTGTAAATGGAAAGAAGTTTGAGCTACTGGAATCCACAGTAAGAACAGTCATAAAAGATAAAGAAAGAAATCTTGATGTGGTGAAAAATGCTCAATTCTTGAACTCAATTATAATTTGTAAACATCATAGTATTATTGCTGAGATAGAAACAATGCAGAAATTATGGTATGATAATCAAGTAAAAGTGAAGAATTGTCCATTTGATCAAAACACTGTGCTATCAAGCTAAGCTAATTTGAGAGGTTGAAAGAAGCTGGAGAGGCAGGCAAAGGTAAAAACTTTGTAGCTGGTAACAGTTTGTTCAACCAATTTAAAACTCACTGTAATTGGCACCACATCGCAGAGAGTCAGCCGATAAAGAAGCTGTGTCTTCTTTTCCTGAAACACTCAGAACTACGATAGAAGAAAGTGATTATGATAGTGAAACTGTATTTAACTTGGATGAGACTGGCCTGTTCTGAATGATGCATAAAAGAACTTTTGATGATGCATAAAAGAACTTTTATTGCATGTGAAGAAAAAACTTTTCAGGCTTTAAGGTTTCTAAAGACCAATTGACAGTGATGGTTGGTGGAAATGCAGCTGCTAACTGTAAGTTAAAACCTCTCTTAATTTACTGCTCCAAAAACCCAAGAGCCTTAAAAAATATATCTAAAATTAGCTTACCAGTGATTTGGAAGTCAAATCATAAAGCCAGGGTGACAGCTTCTGTTTTTAAAGACTGGTTTGGTCACCACTTCATATCTGAAGTCAAAAGTTATTGCAACTCTAAACAGATTCCATTTAAAGTGATGCTTCTCATTGACAATGCACCCGATCACCCTCCTTCCACCCTAATTGATTTTGACCCATGTGTGAATGTTGTGTTTTTGCCTCCAAATACAACCAGCTTGCTTCAACCGATAGACCAGGAAGTCATCAAAACATTCAAGGCTTACTAGTATCCAACACTTTATACCCAGTTCCACCAGAAAAGCAAATGACAATTGCAAGCTTGACAAAAGGTCTCAGCTCAATTGAAAAAGGCTTAGAAATTTTAGAAAACAGACTCCAATAAAGAACACGTTATAGCTACAAAGCAAGAAATAAATAAATTATTAGCTTGCTACAAAGAAATTCTGCATGAAAAAGAAGGCATTGTGTCATCGGACAAATCTGTTTGATTTTATGAAGCCATCGACACCGAAATAACTTTTTATGTAACTCATTTATTTTTTTACTATTTTGTATTAATATGTATAAATAACTGCAATTTTATTAAATATTTTTTGTCTAAATTAGTGTTTTTGTTAGTTCTTGGTCCCAATTAAACAAAATTTATATGTATTTATATGCAAAGTTGTACACCGACTTATGCGAATTCTACTTAAGCAATTTTTGTTGGACCTATCTATCATGTAACTTTGAGGTATTACTGTATCTCATTTCAGTCTTTTATTTTGCATTCATGTCACTTGTATTATGGCTGATTGTTAATTTTTGTTTATAATACTTGAGTAAGTTATTACAGTAGGCCCCCTATAACACGGGTTCCTATAGTTCGGATTCCTATATCACAGCGAAAGAATTGCGACAGTATTCGTACAAACACGCTAAAAATTTTTAAACTCCTATAATTCGGTAAAACGTCATCGCCAACTCGTGTCGCGATAGGATTGGTCAAATCTAGACCAATAGCAGATATTGCACAAACCACTGAGTTTAAACGAGCAGTGGACCTACTAAAAACCATTTATTATTTAACGTCCATAAAAATTATATTTATATTAATTAATAAAGTCTCCAAAGTTCAGTGAATTTAAAAAAAAAAAAAAAAAAATAATTTATTAGGAAGCACACGAGCGCCATTCGATGACAAGTTCCACGACGAAAACAAGCTTAAGCAATGGCGTCATCGAACGGTGCACACTCGGTAAGTAATCCTACAATTTTTTTGTTTATAGAACAGTTTATATGGATTATTCCCAAAAAATTATATGTATTTTGGAAATGTTGAGTCAAATTAGTCTAGAATCGATTAATTTTTTTAATCTTTCAAACAGCCGTAGTCCGTAAACTGCATACATGCCAGGCTGGGATTGGCTGGACTCGTAGAAAATGGATTCATAAAAACTGGAACGTATCTACCATGTTATAGGGGGGGTCGACTGTATTTATATAATATTAGCCCAGTAAAAAATCTTTATGATCTTAACTTAATAACAGTGTATCATTAACACAAATGTTTACACAATAATTTCAAACAAATTTCATTTGGACACATGGAAACAGCTTCACATGTTCAGTATTTACTGAATGCCAAGCAAACATTTGGCCAATACTGAGTAGTGCTGGCCAAATGTTCTACCGGGGGGATTAGAAAAAAAAAACTTTAAGTTTTTTCTCACAATGACAGAGTAGAGTAACCAAGCACTAAAACAAAAACTAACAATGCTAAAAAACTCTAACCCGACAGTCAGTCTGTAGCGTGAAGAAAGAAAATAAATAAATAGAAAAAAATTTTTTTTGGGTTAATGATTCAGCCCTGATCACGCCATACAAGAGCGTGAAAATGCAAAAAAAACCTTGGAACATGCATGTGATGTAGGTCAACGTTTTCTCCAAATTGTAAAAGTTAGAATAAATTTATTGATAAGCAACGAGTCACTCCCGCTTTATCACAAAATCATTGTAAGGAATGTAGTAATTTGTAAACCTGGCAAGAATTGTATAGAAGGTGCACTCCTTTAGAAGATATAGAGTTGGAGATTTTGGCTTTTAAATGAAAAGAGAAATAAATTTCTCTTTAATCTAAAGGGGAAGGGGTGTGAGGAACCAAGTCTGAGCATTATTTTTAGTTACTTTTTATTTTGCTTTTTATTCTATTTTTGTTTGGGGCTTATGTTTTGTTAGGACAAAAGTTTCTTCACCACTCACCTTAGAAACTTAAAACAGAAGAAAAAAAAACCAACTCACCAATGAGAAAAACCGCTGTAGAAAAAAACTTGCGCACACTTGCACTCCCAAGCAGAAAAAAGTAAGTCTGCACCGAGAAGAGGGGGAGACCCCACAAGCACAACTTAGGAACTTGCTAAACCTTAACAAATAAAACACCCCGAAAATTGTCAAAAAGAACAATGGAAAAGATTAGCGAGTATTGTCAGAAAATAGACTGCCAGGCAAAAAGGAAAAGTTCAATGTTAGAGATAAGTATGTAAATGAGGGGAGTGGACTCAGTTAAAATTGTGATGTCACCTCAAAGTACAAATCCCGTACCTCAAGCGAAGATGACCGAGGTGAGCTTCTGTTAGCAAAGAGTGTGGTGAGCTTCGTAGCAGCAAATGACAAGAGTTGTCTGATAGGATAAAGGTGTTCCAAGGCGATTAGAAGTTATTCAACTTGTGGATCGAAGATTAGAAAGTCTTGAGAGTTGAGGAGAAAGGTTCCTAGTATATTGAGGTGACAGTTAGGACCTTAGTTCATAAGAATTGTTGTACATAAGTTAAGTCTTTGAATTTTTTTGTCGAATTCCAAAGGGAAATAGATTTAAGTTAACCAATAGATTTTGAGTTTTGTCGGGTTGATTTTCTTTGAATAAATTGTTGTTTGATTGTTACAAAATTTTGTACATAGTTATTATTAGAATTATTGAATATTGGATTGTTTTTGACTAACTTTGCAATTATTTAATTCGGTGCACACTTAAAGTCCAGGCCTGGCACATTAATGCGAATCCGCGTAAAGTACCCGTTAGGTAATGGCTATTTCTGGCACACAGTTCGTGTCAATAATCATTGTAAAAGGTGTAAAAATAAATATAGTACTTTTCAGTGTGGATGATTACTTGAAATTAATATTTGGTATTTACCATTTTCTGCTCCTTGTTGGTATATCATGCCAAATCAATAGGCAATTATTTGGCAATCAGTAAATATCAAAAGTGTGACGCTGCCTCAAGGTACGATACGAGCAATTTAAAAAAGAAAAAAATGTTATGCAAAGGTTTATTCTACTTTTGTCTTCTATCTCAAAAGGTGCTTAATAATAATTAAAATTTTACATGAACATTAGCTTAATTTATATAAAATAAAATAGTTTAAAAAAATGAAGCAAATAAATCAAATTATGAAAATGATGCTGGCTTCATTTGTAAGACGGTGTATTGTAAAAAAGAAAAACTTTCATAGTAAACCTACATTTCTTATTTTCAATATGTGTGATTACTCAAGAGAGCAGTAACAATGCACTTATGTGTCTGTATAAAAAACAATTTATTTCACATCTTTACAACAATACCGGAGAATAGTAATATAATTATCTCTTTCTAACCTGTTACTGGTGCGTCTACTAACTCTTACTGATCCAAAAAAAAACGAACCAGTTTTGGTTCGTTTTTTTTTGGATCGGTAAGAGTTAATAGACGCACCGGTAACAGGTTAGAAAGAGATAATTATGTAACAATTTATTTCCGTAAATCATAGCAAACTTAATGACCAACCAAAGCCAATCAAATGCAATCCAAACAATTTATTTTTTATTGGACAAAACATAATAAACTGTATATGAATAAGTGCAATTTATATTTGGATACATGTTAATAATAGTAAATCACAACTTATTATTTCTGTAAGATGTAATGTTAATAAAGATGCTGTAAACACTTCTCTTTCCTTTCATTAGCTGAAAATTCATGGATAAGCTTGCCATTTTGTCAATTTGAAATTTGAAAAAATAGCTTTGTTTTCTTCTTAAATCAAGAGCAAAGTGATAATAAAAATAAAATACTAAAGACCACTAATTATCTACTTTACATATATAACATATCAAGTAGACAAGACAGATGCATACTGCCAAATTTAGCATTGTGTCTTTTTCATATTCATCACTAATAATGATAGAAAAATTTTTTCCATATCAAAATTTGCTTTTCATAGAGAAAAATGATGAATGGCAAAATAAAACTGTGCTTATGTAATTATAGTTATACAGTAGAACCTCGAAAACTCGGCTCTCGATAACCCGGCACTCCGGATAACTCGGCCACACCTTGGCAGGGCAAAAAAATCCTTAGTTAATTAATTTTCATTATAGACAGCTTTATAAAAGTATAAAAGCTCTCATAAAGTATTTTTCTGAGGTCTGTCTTATCAGGTAAATTACTGTACACAGTGTATTCATTAATTTTCATTTTCATGTAGTAAAGGCTCTATGCCTTCATAAAGGACGTACTTTTCCTTTGTTTAAGGGTATTTGGACAGTTTATTCTCTGTTGTATTCTCAAGTAAACAATACATACAAGTACAGTACAGTATTTTCTGAGGAAACACTCATACTTATTTTTTTTAACCCCATTCCCGATAACCCGGCATTTTCACAAACTCGGCCACCCTTCGGTCCACATTAGGCCGAGTTTTCGAGGTTCTACTGTAGTTATATTTCAATGAGGTGTGATGCATACAGGACAGACCACCCACAAAAATTCCTAGGGTTTTTGTGGGTGCTCGTATTTGATCTAAAATCTCCAGAGCAATGAGCTAATGCCTGTATTGCCTTGGCTATATGGTAAGCCCACATTTTCTATTAGACACTGATAAAAAAAAATAGATATTTTTTTATATATAATTCTATAAACTTAAAAATAAATCAAATAAAACAAACTAATTTAATAATAAAATCATAAATAATATACACCAGAGTGGCGAAACCTCGTCACAATAAAAGCCATATCAGCATATCAGAAAGTCGTAAGAGCCATATCCTATAATGAAATATTATTTCATATATAACCTATATACTGTATATATACATAAGAGTGGCAGGGTCCAATATAAAATAATAAAAACCATATAAAAAAGTAGACAATTCACTTGAATGTAGTTTCTAAATATTGCAAATTAAAAGAATTTCTTTTTATTACAGTATGAATTTGAAATAAGATATATTTAAAAGTCACCTGAAATCTATGAATGTTTGTATTATTCATTTGAAGTGGTGGAGAACCCAATAATGAATCATTTTGTGGAATACATGCAGGTGGCATGGTATTGATAGGTGGACGAAACATATCAGGCATACATTCTAAATTAGCACGAGACGATGGATGGTTTCTCTGATCAAAGTGCACATCCTGCTAAATTAGAAAATCACATCATTAAAAAACATAAATAAATATAGAAAAGCTAAATGAATAAATACTTACTTGATTGTGAGGAAACTGTCGATCTCCACCGAAAGCCGGCGGTCGATTGTCTAGCAACCCCATTCGATACTGTCCCTGCTGTGGTATGGGAAATCTTGGGCCCATATTTTGTAGTGACGATGGAGGTAGATTTTGTTGTATTTGTGGAGTTATGTTCCTTCCACTGTTTATGTGTTGCGAATGTGAATTACGAATAAACTGAGATTGTTTGGCAGGTGCATATGATGATTCTGTTTGAAATTCGTTCACAGAATGATTTATTTAGTAAATTCTTTCTTGTAATAAAATTAAACCAATAAAATTTTCTTTACCTTCTGAAACCGATGGACGAGGCCCGCGAAAATGTGGATTTATTAATATCTTTCTAGGTGGATTATGAGAAGTGTAAGATGATTGCTGAGATGTAGATGGCTGTACATTATTATTAACATGAGGAGTAGGATGAACAGGCTGAACAGGTATTTCACTCCTCATCTTTATTTTCACAGAAAGTAATCATAATTTTTTTAAACAGAGATTCATAAACTTTTAATTATACTTTATTTAAATGTATAACTAATTAATTTTGCACATTAAATTAATACAAAAATAAGAAATATTTCAAATATTTTCAAGTAAAATTGGAAAGATGAAACAGTAATTATTGAAGTCTAAGTAAATTTTCACTTTAATTACATTAATTTCAGAATAACTTTTCATTTATAAGATTTATATAAAAACTTAACGATTCATCATATTTAAACACTATTAATAAATTTTAGACTTTTAATAATTTTAATTTAAAAAAAATTGACAGTTGTTGAAAATCGACAATTATATCAAGTTTCGACAGTTCTCTTAAATTTTTGTGAAATTCAAATCGCTAAAAAATCGAAATATTTATTTTCATACCTTAAAACATGATAAGGTGTATATTTTGGGTATTATAATAAATATTACAACAATATAAGCTTATAATAAATCACTGAAACAGAGAAACAAAATATTTTCCTTTCTGTAAATCAACAAAATATATGAATAAGAACTTCATATAAAGTATATAAAGCCTAGATAACAACATTAAAAAATTTATTTAAGTCCTATTTCCTGTTTCTAAATAATAATAATTATTTATAAAAGTACAACAATTTATCTAGCTCTAAAATTGTGATAAACATCCAGATTTAAAATTGCAACAATAATATAAATTGTGTATAATACTATGTTTATTTGTAAGTTAATCAAACTTGAAGGTTGTATGTCATGCCAATCTTTTAACTAAAATAATAAACGTTCACAAAAAGGCGTTAAATATGTTTAAAAATAATGTTTTTATTGCTGCTAGCACTTTCAATGTATTATAAAACGTCGAAAGCACTAGCAGGTACAGCTTCTATAAAACGGATGTTATTGCTCTCTATCCCTCTGTACCTCAATTTGAGGCTGTTATGCTTGCCAACACTATACTTATCAAGGAGTGCTTTTCTGTGTAACAAGTTTTAGAGATCTGGGAAGCTTTACTCTTTATTACTGAACATAACCACTTTCTTTCAATGGGAAAGTATATCTACAAAATCAAGGGGTCCCAATGGTCTCACCATTGTCTGCTATATTAGTGGAATTAGTCATAATGCATGTTAAGCAATAAGATTTTTAATTTTCCCCTCACGTTAGCATATCCACTAGTATATCTGAGGTATGTAGATGATATTCTCTTAGCATGGCAAGATATGAAGGAAGACTTCATCCTAAAACGTTTCCCTGCGAATGTTTATTTTTCTATTGACTTCACCTGGGAAAAAGAAAATGGCAGCAAAATTGCATTTTTAGACTTAAGCATTGCCAAGTCCCAGGGAAATTTAATATTCTCCATGTTCCATAAATTTAATAACATACCCCGTTTAATCCCAGTCACAGCTTACTAACCACAGCAGTACATTAATGCAGTTATAGTCCTTTAATTAGAAGGGCCTTTCTATTGCCATCCATGCAAACCACTACCATCGAGCTCACTGCCATATAAACATGTCTTGAGCAAAATTAAAAGATATCTTTTTCCTGCTACCACCTTACACAAACCAAAGAACTACACAATAATCTGTCTATCACTACCATTCTATGGCCGCTTCACTACCAGGATTTGCCATGTTTTCAGACAACACACATTACTTTTACCAGTTACCTCACGAACAAGTCTCAGGAGACTTCTATAGATTCTATTTCCATCCTAGAGAAGTCAGATGTATAATATATCTCATTAGAAAATATAATATCTATTATATGCACCCACTATGCAGGGGTGAAAACTAGAATGTTATCTTGCCGTATTTCCGATCACCAACATTCCATCACGATAGACAGGTGTGACACCGAGCTATTGAGGATGGTGTTACAACATCAATACACCCCACTGTGGGACCAGGTAGTGATGCTCAGATATTGTGATTAGAGGAGCCTGGTAAATGTTTGGGAGGCCCTCCTCACTACATTACTAAATCCATGAAACTCCCCCACACTTGAGTTGCCTGCAATGTGGATCATCTTATCTAAAAGACTGAAACATCACTTTTAGTGCCGCTTTCAGTGCTTAATCTATGCATTATGACACATGCGCATAGTCACCATGTGCACTTTAAATTCTTCGTTTGCCTATTTTAAATGTAATTTGTTCTAAACAGTTAATGCTGTTAGCTTTTAATTTAAAAAGCTTGTTCAAAAGGTTTATTTGAATTTATATTTACCTGAGGACGTCGTCTTATAATACGTCGAAAGTGCTAGAACAAATAAAAACGTTATTTTTAAACATATTTATCGCCTTTTTGTGAAAGTTTCTTTACTATGTTTATTTTTAATCCTAATATTCCAAAGAAATGTGTTAAAAAAAAAAAAACCACACACCTGTGCTGATTTTGTAGTTTACAAAAATAAATAAAAATAATTTTTTATTTGTGGTTATGAAATAAAAAGAAAGAATTTTGTTTGATATCTAAAAAACTTGCTACCAATTATATCTTATTCCTTATTTATAAATATTCACCTGAGTAATTAAAGGTCGTTTCATCTGCGACTGCTGATGTTGAAGCCCTCCTTTACTGAATTTGTTTTTAGATTTTGGTTTACGATACCGATTCTTCCTTTCTTGTTCTCTGGCTAAGAATTCATTTACCTTTGCTGCTTCTTCAGCAGAAATAACAGAGTCTATTAACGAACATTAACACAAAACAATTAAACATAATAAAAAATTAATAGAGTCGTTATTTACTTATGTAATTAAGTTTTAAAAGGTAAAATGTTTTATTTTAATTCATTATTAATGAGTGAAAATAATTTGGCATTTTATAAAATAAACATCTAATTATAATTTAGCAACTATATAAAGGTCATTAATGCAATATCAGTATTAATTTTTAACAGAGAAGCAAAACACTGATATACTGATACAAAACTATTCTCAAGCAGCAATGAAACACTGATATACTAATACTTAATTCTCAAGCAGCAACCACTTCAGAAATTTTGGTTTACAAAAGAAATTTAGGATCTTTTAATGAGAAATGTTGATAAAGATGATCCAGTTACCTCCAAATATTCAGAATTAGTCTGTAAACTACATGAGAGTGTAAAATGGAAAATAATTTCTCCTAGATATCAAAGTAACTAAGAAAAATAACTATGAGTAGATTTACATTAGCTGATTTTTAAATGTGAATTCCTATAATAAAATTCATTCCATCATGAAAACCTATGACAAAATTTCTGTCATTATCTAAACCACAGGTGGCGAACCTATGGCATGCATGCCCAAAGTGGAATGTCAAAGAAATCATCTGGCACGTAACGTATTATACAATATAGGTTTATCATCTTTTTCAATCAGGTTCTTTACATTTACTCTAATTACAGCATATTATTTTATTTATTTAAATATAGTTTTTTGAAACTCTTTTCGCCCTGTGGGCACTAAGAGGGCATTTTTATTTAGCAAACTCCAAATGGAACAGTCGGATGGTGAAGAATGGATCACCACCTGAAAATGTTCAGGGGTTTTGATCTCGGGTCCACAAGAGTGATAAGCTACCACTTTTACCACTCGGCCATTTCGNCACACGAGCGCCATTCGATGACAAGTTCCACGACGAAAACAAGCTTAAGCAATGGCGTCATCGAACGGTGCACACTCGGTAAGTAATCCTACAATTTTTTTGTTTATAGAACAGTTTATATGGATTATTCCCAAAAAATTATATGTATTTTGGAAATGTTGAGTCAAATTAGTCTAGAATCGATTAATTTTTTTAATCTTTCAAACAGCCGTAGTCCGTAAACTGCATACATGCCAGGCTGGGATTGGCTGGACTCGTAGAAAATGGATTCATAAAAACTGGAACGTATCTACCATGTTATAGGGGGGGTCGACTGTATTTATATAATATTAGCCCAGTAAAAAATCTTTATGATCTTAACTTAATAACAGTGTATCATTAACACAAATGTTTACACAATAATTTCAAACAAATTTCATTTGGACACATGGAAACAGCTTCACATGTTCAGTATTTACTGAATGCCAAGCAAACATTTGGCCAATACTGAGTAGTGCTGGCCAAATGTTCTACCGGGGGGATTAGAAAAAAAAAACTTTAAGTTTTTTCTCACAATGACAGAGTAGAGTAACCAAGCACTAAAACAAAAACTAACAATGCTAAAAAACTCTAACCCGACAGTCAGTCTGTAGCGTGAAGAAAGAAAATAAATAAATAGAAAAAAATTTTTTTTGGGTTAATGATTCAGCCCTGATCACGCCATACAAGAGCGTGAAAATGCAAAAAAAACCTTGGAACATGCATGTGATGTAGGTCAACGTTTTCTCCAAATTGTAAAAGTTAGAATAAATTTATTGATAAGCAACGAGTCACTCCCGCTTTATCACAAAATCATTGTAAGGAATGTAGTAATTTGTAAACCTGGCAAGAATTGTATAGAAGGTGCACTCCTTTAGAAGATATAGAGTTGGAGATTTTGGCTTTTAAATGAAAAGAGAAATAAATTTCTCTTTAATCTAAAGGGGAAGGGGTGTGAGGAACCAAGTCTGAGCATTATTTTTAGTTACTTTTTATTTTGCTTTTTATTCTATTTTTGTTTGGGGCTTATGTTTTGTTAGGACAAAAGTTTCTTCACCACTCACCTTAGAAACTTAAAACAGAAGAAAAAAAAACCAACTCACCAATGAGAAAAACCGCTGTAGAAAAAAACTTGCGCACACTTGCGCTCCCAAGCAGAAAAAAGTAAGTCTGCACCGAGAAGAGGGGGAGACCCCACAAGCACAACTTAGGAACTTGCTAAACCTTAACAAATAAAACACCCCGAAAATTGTCAAAAAGAACAATGGAAAAGATTAGCGAGTATTGTCAGAAAATAGACTGCCAGGCAAAAAGGAAAAGTTCAATGTTAGAGATAAGTATGTAAATGAGGGGAGTGGACTCAGTTAAAATTGTGATGTCACCTCAAAGTACAAATCCCGTACCTCAAGCGAAGATGACCGAGGTGAGCTTCTGTTAGCAAAGAGTGTGGTGAGCTTCGTAGCAGCAAATGACAAGAGTTGTCTGATAGGATAAAGGTGTTCCAAGGCGATTAGAAGTTATTCAACTTGTGGATCGAAGATTAGAAAGTCTTGAGAGTTGAGGAGAAAGGTTCCTAGTATATTGAGGTGACAGTTAGGACCTTAGTTCATAAGAATTGTTGTACATAAGTTAAGTCTTTGAATTTTTTTGTCGAATTCCAAAGGGAAATAGATTTAAGTTAACCAATAGATTTTGAGTTTTGTCGGGTTGATTTTCTTTGAATAAATTGTTGTTTGATTGTTACAAAATTTTGTACATAGTTATTATTAGAATTATTGAATATTGGATTGTTTTTGACTAACTTTGCAATTATTTAATTCGGTGCACACTTAAAGTCCAGGCCTGGCACATTAATGCGAATCCGCGTAAAGTACCCGTTAGGTAATGGCTATTTCTGGCACACAGTTCGTGTCAATAATCATTGTAAAAGGTGTAAAAATAAATATAGTACTTTTCAGTGTGGATGATTTACTTGAAATTAATATTTGGTATTTACCATTTTCTGCTCCTTGTTGGTATATCATGCCAAATCAATAGGCAATTATTTGGCAATCAGTAAATATCAAAAGTGTGACGCTGCCTCAAGGTACGATACGAGCAATTTAAAAAAGAAAAAAATGTTATGCAAAGGTTTATTCTACTTTTGTCTTCTATCTCAAAAGGTGCTTAATAATAATTAAAATTTTACATGAACATTAGCTTAATTTATATAAAATAAAATAGTTTAAAAAAATGAAGCAAATAAATCAAATTATGAAAATGATGCTGGCTTCATTTGTAAGACGGTGTATTGTAAAAAAGAAAAACTTTCATAGTAAACCTACATTTCTTATTTTCAATATGTGTGATTACTCAAGAGAGCAGTAACAATGCACTTATGTGTCTGTATAAAAAACAATTTATTTCACATCTTTACAACAATACCGGAGAATAGTAATATAATTATCTCTTTCTAACCTGTTACTGGTGCGTCTACTAACTCTTACTGATCCAAAAAAAAACGAACCAGTTTTGGTTCGTTTTTTTTTGGATCGGTAAGAGTTAATAGACGCACCGGTAACAGGTTAGAAAGAGATAATTATGTAACAATTTATTTCCGTAAATCATAGCAAACTTAATGACCAACCAAAGCCAATCAAATGCAATCCAAACAATTTATTTTTTATTGGACAAAACATAATAAACTGTATATGAATAAGTGCAATTTATATTTGGATACATGTTAATAATAGTAAATCACAACTTATTATTTCTGTAAGATGTAATGTTAATAAAGATGCTGTAAACACTTCTCTTTCCTTTCATTAGCTGAAAATTCATGGATAAGCTTGCCATTTTGTCAATTTGAAATTTGAAAAAATAGCTTTGTTTTCTTCTTAAATCAAGAGCAAAGTGATAATAAAAATAAAATACTAAAGACCACTAATTATCTACTTTACATATATAACATATCAAGTAGACAAGACAGATGCATACTGCCAAATTTAGCATTGTGTCTTTTTCATATTCATCACTAATAATGATAGAAAAATTTTTTCCATATCAAAATTTGCTTTTCATAGAGAAAAATGATGAATGGCAAAATAAAACTGTGCTTATGTAATTATAGTTATACAGTAGAACCTCGAAAACTCGGCTCTCGATAACCCGGCACTCCGGATAACTCGGCCACACCTTGGCAGGGCAAAAAAATCCTTAGTTAATTAATTTTCATTATAGACAGCTTTATAAAAGTATAAAAGCTCTCATAAAGTATTTTTCTGAGGTCTGTCTTATCAGGTAAATTACTGTACACAGTGTATTCATTAATTTTCATTTTCATGTAGTAAAGGCTCTATGCCTTCATAAAGTACGTACTTTTCCTTTGTTTAAGGGTATTTGGGCAGTTTATTCTCTGTTGTATTCTCAAGTAAACAATACATACAAGTACAGTACAGTATTTTCTGAGGAAACACTCATACTTATTTTTTTTAACCCCATTCCCGATAACCCGGCATTTTCACAAACTCGGCCACCCTTCGGTCCACATTAGGCCGAGTTTTCGAGGTTCTACTGTAGTTATATTTCAATGAGGTGTGATGCATACAGGACAGACCACCCACAAAAATTCCTAGGGTTTTTGTGGGTGCTCGTATTTGATCTAAAATCTCCAGAGCAATGAGCTAATGCCTGTATTGCCTTGGCTATATGGTAAGCCCACATTTTCTATTAGACACTGATAAAAAAAAATAGATATTTTTTTATATATAATTCTATAAACTTAAAAATAAATCAAATAAAACAAACTAATTTAATAATAAAATCATAAATAATATACACCAGAGTGGCGAAACCTCGTCACAATAAAAGCCATATCAGCATATCAGAAAGTCGTAAGAGCCATATCCTATAATGAAATATTATTTCATATATAACCTATATACTGTATATATACATAAGAGTGGCAGGGTCCAATATAAAATAATAAAAACCATATAAAAAAGTAGACAATTCACTTGAATGTAGTTTCTAAATATTGCAAATTAAAAGAATTTCTTTTTATTACAGTATGAATTTGAAATAAGATATATTTAAAAGTCACCTGAAATCTATGAATGTTTGTATTATTCATTTGAAGTGGTGGAGAACCCAATAATGAATCATTTTGTGGAATACATGCAGGTGGCATGGTATTGATAGGTGGACGAAACATATCAGGCATACATTCTAAATTAGCACGAGACGATGGATGGTTTCTCTGATCAAAGTGCACATCCTGCTAAATTAGAAAATCACATCATTAAAAAACATAAATAAATATAGAAAAGCTAAATGAATAAATACTTACTTGATTGTGAGGAAACTGTCGATCTCCACCGAAAGCCGGCGGTCGATTGTCTAGCAACCCCATTCGATACTGTCCCTGCTGTGGTATGGGAAATCTTGGGCCCATATTTTGTAGTGACGATGGAGGTAGATTTTGTTGTATTTGTGGAGTTATGTTCCTTCCACTGTTTATGTGTTGCGAATGTGAATTACGAATAAACTGAGATTGTTTGGCAGGTGCATATGATGATTCTGTTTGAAATTCGTTCACAGAATGATTTATTTAGTAAATTCTTTCTTGTAATAAAATTAAACCAATAAAATTTTCTTTACCTTCTGAAACCGATGGACGAGGCCCGCGAAAATGTGGATTTATTAATATCTTTCTAGGTGGATTATGAGAAGTGTAAGATGATTGCTGAGATGTAGATGGCTGTACATTATTATTAACATGAGGAGTAGGATGAACAGGCTGAACAGGTATTTCACTCCTCATCTTTATTTTCACAGAAAGTAATCATAATTTTTTTAAACAGAGATTCATAAACTTTTAATTATACTTTATTTAAATGTATAACTAATTAATTTTGCACATTAAATTAATACAAAAATAAGAAATATTTCAAATATTTTCAAGTAAAATTGGAAAGATGAAACAGTAATTATTGAAGTCTAAGTAAATTTTCACTTTAATTACATTAATTTCAGAATAACTTTTCATTTATAAGATTTATATAAAAACTTAACGATTCATCATATTTAAACACTATTAATAAATTTTAGACTTTTAATAATTTTAATTTAAAAAAAATTGACAGTTGTTGAAAATCGACAATTATATCAAGTTTCGACAGTTCTCTTAAATTTTTGTGAAATTCAAATCGCTAAAAAATCGAAATATTTATTTTCATACCTTAAAACATGATAAGGTGTATATTTTGGGTATTATAATAAATATTACAACAATATAAGCTTATAATAAATCACTGAAACAGAGAAACAAAATATTTTCCTTTCTGTAAATCAACAAAATATATGAATAAGAACTTCATATAAAGTATATAAAGCCTAGATAACAACATTAAAAAATTTATTTAAGTCCTATTTCCTGTTTCTAAATAATAATAATTATTTATAAAAGTACAACAATTTATCTAGCTCTAAAATTGTGATAAACATCCAGATTTAAAATTGCAACAATAATATAAATTGTGTATAATACTATGTTTATTTGTAAGTTAATCAAACTTGAAGGTTGTATGTCATGCCAATCTTTTAACTAAAATAATAAACGTTCACAAAAAGGCGTTAAATATGTTTAAAAATAATGTTTTTATTGCTGCTAGCACTTTCAATGTATTATAAAACGTCGAAAGCACTAGCAGGTACAGCTTCTATAAAACGGATGTTATTGCTCTCTATCCCTCTGTACCTCAATTTGAGGCTGTTATGCTTGCCAACACTATACTTATCAAGGAGTGCTTTTCTGTGTAACAAGTTTTAGAGATCTGGGAAGCTTTACTCTTTATTACTGAACATAACCACTTTCTTTCAATGGGAAAGTATATCTACAAAATCAAGGGGTCCCAATGGTCTCACCATTGTCTGCTATATTAGTGGAATTAGTCATAATGCATGTTAAGCAATAAGATTTTTAATTTTCCCCTCACGTTAGCATATCCACTAGTATATCTGAGGTATGTAGATGATATTCTCTTAGCATGGCAAGATATGAAGGAAGACTTCATCCTAAAACGTTTCCCTGCGAATGTTTATTTTTCTATTGACTTCACCTGGGAAAAAGAAAATGGCAGCAAAATTGCATTTTTAGACTTAAGCATTGCCAAGTCCCAGGGAAATTTAATATTCTCCATGTTCCATAAATTTAATAACATACCCCGTTTAATCCCAGTCACAGCTTACTAACCACAGCAGTACATTAATGCAGTTATAGTCCTTTAATTAGAAGGGCCTTTCTATTGCCATCCATGCAAACCACTACCATCGAGCTCACTGCCATATAAACATGTCTTGAGCAAAATTAAAAGATATCTTTTTCCTGCTACCACCTTACACAAACCAAAGAACTACACAATAATCTGTCTATCACTACCATTCTATGGCCGCTTCACTACCAGGATTTGCCATGTTTTCAGACAACACACATTACTTTTACCAGTTACCTCACGAACAAGTCTCAGGAGACTTCTATAGATTCTATTTCCATCCTAGAGAAGTCAGATGTATAATATATCTCATTAGAAAATATAATATCTATTATATGCACCCACTATGCAGGGGTGAAAACTAGAATGTTATCTTGCCGTATTTCCGATCACCAACATTCCATCACGATAGACAGGTGTGACACCGAGCTATTGAGGATGGTGTTACAACATCAATACACCCCACTGTGGGACCAGGTAGTGATGCTCAGATATTGTGATTAGAGGAGCCTGGTAAATGTTTGGGAGGCCCTCCTCACTACATTACTAAATCCATGAAACTCCCCCACACTTGAGTTGCCTGCAATGTGGATCATCTTATCTAAAAGACTGAAACATCACTTTTAGTGCCGCTTTCAGTGCTTAATCTATGCATTATGACACATGCGCATAGTCACCATGTGCACTTTAAATTCTTCGTTTGCCTATTTTAAATGTAATTTGTTCTAAACAGTTAATGCTGTTAGCTTTTAATTTAAAAAGCTTGTTCAAAAGGTTTATTTGAATTTATATTTACCTGAGGACGTCGTCTTATAATACGTCGAAAGTGCTAGAACAAATAAAAACGTTATTTTTAAACATATTTATCGCCTTTTTGTGAAAGTTTCTTTACTATGTTTATTTTTAATCCTAATATTCCAAAGAAATGTGTTAAAAAAAAAAAAACCACACACCTGTGCTGATTTTGTAGTTTACAAAAATAAATAAAAATAATTTTTTATTTGTGGTTATGAAATAAAAAGAAAGAATTTTGTTTGATATCTAAAAAACTTGCTACCAATTATATCTTATTCCTTATTTATAAATATTCACCTGAGTAATTAAAGGTCGTTTCATCTGCGACTGCTGATGTTGAAGCCCTCCTTTACTGAATTTGTTTTTAGATTTTGGTTTACGATACCGATTCTTCCTTTCTTGTTCTCTGGCTAAGAATTCATTTACCTTTGCTGCTTCTTCAGCAGAAATAACAGAGTCTATTAACGAACATTAACACAAAACAATTAAACATAATAAAAAATTAATAGAGTCGTTATTTACTTATGTAATTAAGTTTTAAAAGGTAAAATGTTTTATTTTAATTCATTATTAATGAGTGAAAATAATTTGGCATTTTATAAAATAAACATCTAATTATAATTTAGCAACTATATAAAGGTCATTAATGCAATATCAGTATTAATTTTTAACAGAGAAGCAAAACACTGATATACTGATACAAAACTATTCTCAAGCAGCAATGAAACACTGATATACTAATACTTAATTCTCAAGCAGCAACCACTTCAGAAATTTTGGTTTACAAAAGAAATTTAGGATCTTTTAATGAGAAATGTTGATAAAGATGATCCAGTTACCTCCAAATATTCAGAATTAGTCTGTAAACTACATGAGAGTGTAAAATGGAAAATAATTTCTCCTAGATATCAAAGTAACTAAGAAAAATAACTATGAGTAGATTTACATTAGCTGATTTTTAAATGTGAATTCCTATAATAAAATTCATTCCATCATGAAAACCTATGACAAAATTTCTGTCATTATCTAAACCACAGGTGGCGAACCTATGGCATGCATGCCCAAAGTGGAATGTCAAAGAAATCATCTGGCACGTAACGTATTATACAATATAGGTTTATCATCTTTTTCAATCAGGTTCTTTACATTTACTCTAATTACAGCATATTATTTTATTTATTTAAATATAGTTTTTTGAAACTCTTTTCGCCCTGTGGGCACTAAGAGGGCATTTTTATTTAGCAAACTCCAAATGGAACAGTCGGATGGTGAAGAATGGATCACCACCTGAAAATGTTCAGGGGTTTTGATCTCGGGTCCACAAGAGTGATAAGCTACCACTTTTACCACGCGGCCATTTCGCCAAATTTAAATATAGTTACTACAAGTCTAACACTTCTGCATGCATAATCATTTTAAGTAAAACAAATTAACTTACTGGAATATAAATACTTAAAATAACCAAACTGGTTATTTTAATCATTTTTAAAGAACAGTATGCTTAATATGCTTACTATGTGGCACACAGGCTCAAAAAGATTCGCCATCCCTGATCTAAACAATAACAGTAAAATGGCAAAACCATTTTTGGGACATAACTATATTTCAAGTCTCAGAGACATGAGACTATGTGCACTCTCCAACATGAGATTATGTCTCATGTCTCATGTCTCAGAGAGTGCGAGCAATGCATGTGCAAATCTCAAACTCGCACCTGTTTATAGAAACTGTCTCAGCATTTTTTATTTTCTTGATCTGGTTCTCAGTTCCCTGACTACCTACAAGTCTGGTTTATTTTATGTGCAAATTTTCAAATAATATTTAAAAAAAATCAAATCTAACAATTTGTACAGTTATTAACATGTATTTTCTAACAATTTTAATTTTAAACTTTTCCTTCTGATTTTACACTCTAAATAAAATATGCTACTAAATTTATTACTTTAGACTTTAAAATTTCTGTGATATCTGATCTTATTTTTATGTAACTTCTGATACACCTAATATAAATTGGTAGATTTCTAACATCCTATAAATTTTATTTCAAGAATGAAACATAATATGAAAGCCTGTAAAACAATATAAGTTATTATTTTATTAAGAATTCAAAAGTTTCATTAATAACAACCTAATATAGAAAAATTTATTTATTTATTATTGACTTTTTCATTAATATTTAACTCCTTACCCAAATTATCGGGAATATCTGGCCTTTTCTTTGCTGCAGATATACTTATTACGTTTGCTCGTTCTGATCTAAAACGTTCGTGTCGATCATCATTTTCTGCATTTTCTTCTTCACTTTCTTCTGTCTCGATATGCTCTGCTTCATTCTTCACAGTTTCTGGCATATGAGAAACCTCACACTGTTCTAATGATTCTTCTACTTTATGACTGTTTTCTTTCTTTTCTTGTCTCCTTGACTGAAGATTGAAGAAAACCAATTATAAGTTTATTTCTCATCAAGATTAATTTTAATTTTCAATATTAATTGCCTTTATTTTATTTTTATTGAGCTACAATTTTCAAATTGCAGACTTATACATTCTCACTGTTTTCTGTCCTTCATTAATTTTGAGAATGGAATTAGACAGTTGAAAATCGAGACCAAAATGGAAAGCTCTGGGGCCAGATGCCCCAATTAACTATGTATGAACTTTCAGTCTGGAAGACATGTAATTTCTATTCAAAATCTTCTCAAGAATGGAGTTAGATAGATGACCAACATGATTTAATTGTTATCAGGAGAAGTATGGCATATAGGGACAAGCCACCATTAAAATCAAGACTAGGTATGGAAAGCTCAGGGGCCAGTGACCCTAACTATATATGAACTTCTGGATCAGAAGTCACAAGATTTTTTTAAATTAAAAAATTATTAAAAATTGCAGCCTGGTATTGTTATGCTGTCACAATAAATAATTGCTTGTAGTGAATGTGTGAGCCCGCGGATTTTTACAGGCCTCTTAAGAATTCAAATTTTATATTAATTGTAAATATCCTCAGAAAAAACCCAAAGAATTTGAACTAGATCAGATTTCACTGATTGTATAACAATTAGTGGGGGAAGTTTATACTTACATGTGAAGAATGCACTGTCATCGTCAACAAAAGTCAATCACGGGTCAGTTTTCCCATGCAAAGGAGATAAAAGCTTGAATCTCTGGAAGCTCGAGGCGATCTCTCGGAAGTTATACTTGTAACTGTACGTTTTGTCTCTATATGCCGGATCGACAGGACATATGATAGAACTTCCATCACCATTAAGGAACATATTCATTGAACGCATGATGGTTATATCCACATTGAGGTATTTGCATTGTTTTAGAGCTTGAGAACTCTCTCTCTCAGACTAGCCGTTAAAGCTATTAGTGCGTCCCTTTTGGGTATAGTGAACTTATGTTAACCGCATTTATTCTTAGTTGTATCTAACTGCATTTAACCTATATATTGTTATCGCCTTATCTATGCTAGCTTAGCCATTCAATAAATGTTTGTTATTTTGTTGAACCTGTTTCCTGTCATTTAAAAACACCTGCTGACTTACTGATGCACTCCCCACTCGATTTGCCCTCCTAGCCATCCAACAGACTCCACGATCGGGTTTTATCAACCTGTTGCAGAGTAATTGGTCAGTTTGGGATTAACCTGTGGCCCACTGCTAATCTCACAAATGCATTGGTAATTGATAGCAAATAAATAAAACACCAAAAATTATTATTATATACATTAATCTAAAAATTCTTACAGGATACTTATTATGTATAAATACAGTATATACAGTGAACTCCTGTATAATGTGATGAAAAAATTGTGACTAGTACTCACAAAATTCTAATTTTATCTTCCAGAGATGTACATTTTCTTCAACTTCTAGATAGGTCTAAGTGTAAAATTGTCTGGTAATACATGTCTTGAAAATGCAATTTTCTATAATGTGGAACATATCCCCCTGCATTGTACAGGACTCCACCGTATATACTCTCTCTCTCTCTCTGTCTGTCTGTCTGTCTGTGTCTGTGTGTGTAACTAATGTTTTCAACCTTTTTTAAAGGTCATTTTCAGATTCTAAATAAAGATAGAATACAAATCCAACTGAAAATCAAACTCAAAGTATTTGTACGATATGTAATGTCACATGTGCAAGAGGTCTTTAAGTTTTAATACTATACTATTTACAGCTATTTAAAAAAACTTTGATAAATAAACATTTTTCAAACTAAAATAAAATGCAAAGCCAACCAATTCCATATTAAGTTATCAACTATCAATATTAACTAACCAGTAATTTAACAATAAATATAATATAAATATTGTGAAATAAAAATACTAACCTCTGTCGAATTAAAAGAGTTATCAACGTTTTCTTGTGAGAAACTATCAAATTCTCCGTCTACTTCTACTTCTAAAATATCTTCGTCCTGTTGGGAATCTGAACTTATTCTACAAAAATAAATATTAAAAATGTTTTAAAAAATCTAAATAGTATAATTTATATACTTTAGTAAAATAATAAATAGCATAAAAAGATTTGAAAAATCCTTATACAGTTGACCCCCCTATAATGTGGGTTCCTATAACGGAAATTCCTATAACATAGCGAAAAAATTGTGGCAGTATTCGTATAAAGGGACTCGTAAAACGTCGTCACCGACTCATGCCGCGACAAGATTGGTTGAATCTGGACCAATAGTGGATGAGCAGCCGAACTACTTTCCGCTGTCCAGCGCCACATTATGGAAAGTTTAGGCGGGTAAATTGAGTTTGCTATCGTAGGTACTGTACATATAATTATTATACAG